AAAGAAACTCATGTGAATGAAGTTCAAAGCTATTTTTAAATGTCGGTTATGTTTGTTGTCAGGGGAACCTACATTTCATGAGAAAGCCATTGCATACACTGACCAAGCCTGTCACATATTTATATGTATGAAAAAAGAAACTCCCATCATGATAATCCATACAAGATTGTGGTGCACAGACAACATTCAATCATCAGAACAAATAGAAGTGGCAATAGTGATAACCCTGGGACTTCCATTTGTCTTAGAGACCCTCTGTGCATGTACAATATTGTCCATAATGAATGTGTCGATCTGTTATGATATATGTCTTTCCCAGCCTGCAATTTCAACTGCCAGTATTCTGAAATACATCAAGATGGGTGCAATTAGGACCACAGCTAGATGTGAGAGGAGCAGAATTCATGGTTGACAGGGTATGGGCATGATGGCATGGCCTGTTTGTTTGCATTTATTTAGAGTTGTCCCTGTCAGTGTCCCCTATCTCTCCACAGCATATGGGGAGGTGTCATGGTAATGCATCCAGATACCTTTTTTAATAATTCCAATATTTTCAACTTCAAAGGTCCTCAAGCCAACTTTGTCAATACGAATAATTGGAATCCCTAGCACCAAGCCCAACATCTAGCCAACAGTATCCTTGCAGTGTCATTATACTAAACCTTGGTGAGCAGCAACAACTGGCAAGATGGCGGTAGAGTAAGTCGCTCCATTCGGAGCTCACTGTGTTCGCCAGTTCTCTTTCTCTTTCTTCCTTTATCCTTCATTTTTTTCTCCCTTCTTCACTCTACCTCTGTAGTAGTTCTATCCCCCCACCCCGTCCCTTTTAACTACCCACCTAAGGAGTCAGGAAGAGGCTGGGTTGCAACCGGGAACCACATGGCGGAAGCTGAACAAGTGGGTTGTGTCCTGCAGTGATGGCAGATCAAGAGTGGCCTGGCGAGAGTGGACTGGTGAGGTAGCGGTGGTGTGACCAAGCCGGTGAGGCAGCCGGGAGTGGGCCAGTGAGGCAGCGGCGGTGAGATTGGGCCAGTGAGGCAACCCAGAGCGGGACACTGACAGCGGCCTGGCATGGGCTAGAAAGCCCGGAGTGGGACATTGGCGGAGGCATGGCGAGGGCTGGAAAGCCCAGAGCAGGATGCTGGCTGTGGCATAGTGTGGGCTGGAAAGCCCAGAGTGGAACTCTGGCAGAAGCGTGCTGAGGGCTGGAAAGCCCTGAGTGGGACTGTGGCAGTGGAAAGGAAAGTTGGACTCTCTTAAGTGGTCTATTTTTTCTTATCTTATTCGAAGTTAATGCGAATGGTGCCATGTGTGTACGGTGAAGGTGCACACTTTTCACTATATTTTCACATTGAATACATGTGAAAATAAATGATCCAATTCTCTCAACTCAATTCTCTCAGACATTAGTGTGGTTCTTCATCTCCTGGAACAAATGTTCAAACTGTTCATCACTAATCTGGGGTGGGACCTTACTTTGGCTACTGGACAAGGTTCAGTTTTGCTGCTAATTGTCATCCCTGATTTTGCCCTGGATGATCTGGTTAATTGTCTTAATGTGACCCTCTAGTATGGTCACTAAATGGTGACTAGCCTGATTCTCTGCTAGTTGGCACCCCTGCTCCATATGATGTGGCTAGATAATTAACGAGTTCCCTTCTCTTTCATCTGTTAACTGCTGCTTTAGGTTTTTCATATATTTCCTTATCCCTTACCCCATTATTCTATAGGTTAGGTGAATATAATCATTTTAATGAGGAAGGACACCACTCCAGTAACTGTATCCCTGATATATCTATTATGATTGGTATGTTTGTGGTGAGTGTTATCAAACTAGATTTTACATTTAAGTTTAATTACTAGTCTACTGTGAGGTCCTGGTGTATGTGTGGGACATGCTGGGAGAGGAGATTCACTCTTGGTCTTAGCCCATTTTTAATTTCACACTCAAATTTTTCCCTGGTGGGACTTCCCAGGGCATCGCCGTCCTAACTCTGACCCCTTGTCTCGCCTGTGTGCTAGATATCCCACTACCATGCACCCGTTCCCAGAGAAACTGCATCAAACATCTGTGATCCCTATGCTCATGAAACACAACACGGAATTCCCATTGGGTTTCCTGTACACCATGGGTTGATTGTTACACCTGAATACCACTGATTTTGCAGGGCAGAACCAGAGGGTCTGATCTACACACTCCAGCGTCTGGTGAATTGTACCACAGGTATTCTGGGTTCATCATTTTCTTTTGCAGCCGTGCTACATTTTTGAAAACGGTCATTATTATATGTAAACATAATACACAATAAATGCTCCAGATCGGTTGCATCACTGCCCTGGATTAGCCGTTCTGATGCATTTCCTAAAAGGAGAACAAGAGTAATTTTTGAAAATACCTTTGTGTTATACATAACATTTTAAAATTGACAAATTGTCCAATTTCCACCCATTCCTGGACCCCGTTTTTTTAAAAAAAACAAATTGGGCGATAGAATAAATGTGCCCCATATGCAGGATGTGGATGGGTGGGTAATCACCCAGTGTGCAAATGGACGTTTAGCAATGGTGGGAGCACTTCCTGATAAGCTACCACATGGCATCTTGTGCAGTCATGTGGCTGAGGAGTATTAAAGCTATGTCCATTATGGTGTCGCCCCTGTCATCCTCAATGTAAAAGCCACAGGCTATTTTCACTCCAGCTGTTGCTGCCAGGATGGTACGCTGGGCGTTGGCCCCTTTTTCTAAACTTCCCGTTGCAAAATTGGAATATTAGGTGCCCGGCAGTCCCAAACAACATGGCTGGGTTGGCCATAGTTATAGCATAGATTGGTTTTGGGGAGTTCCCTTCTTCTGGGGGCAGGGGACTTGCCTGGAGGGGGAGTTTGTCTGGAACTACTTGGTGTATTCCTGCCTCTTCTTTCATTCCTCCAAGTTGGAAGGGAGTGCCACAAGAAGTCAGGACTGCACTTATGCAGACTGATTTTCCACGATGACTGCAGTGCCCTCAAGTTCTTTTCCCATATAGTGATTAAGTTGTGGAGGACCCAAGCCTCATTATGGAAGGCACTGGAGGGGTCGAATCCCAGACATGCACCCCTCCTTCTTTCTGATGCATGGGAGACAAGGATTCCAACCCAGTTTTTTCCATTCTTCGTTAGTAAGAGAGTTGCAGGTTACCAGATAAAACCCAAATAAATTGGACCCAGGTCTCTGGGTGAAGTTGGTGAAGTGTTCCCCTTATTGTTATTGGCACTTATGTTGTGCCTGTTGGGGGTTTGTCTTATCCTGCCCTATGGCAGTAAGGACTGTCACCTTCATCTGGTCAAAGGACCCCCTCCCTAGTTGTTGGTCCTCGGGTAGGGTTGAATGGACCACTGGACAAAGGAACATGGTGATTAATTTGGTTAACTTAGTGGCCTCCAGTCCGTGCATAATGGACTGTTGGTAGATCTCATCAAAAAATGTATATGGGCCTGAGGTGGAATCAAAGAGTGTCACCTTTTTGGCAATGTCCGCCAGTTGGGTGGCTAGACTGGGTGTTGTGTATGCAGTGTGACAATCAGCTGTTTGATGCTGGGTGATCACAGGATTCATGGGCTCTGGTTTCAGCTGGATCAGATGTGGGCCTAAAGGTGTAGTCACCTGGGAGAAAGGTTGCAGGGATAAGCAGATGTGGATGTGTTAGTTTGAGGTCTCTCATTATCTCCATAGGGAGGTAGGACTCCAAAGGCATAAATTATCACATTCTGGGCAGAGACCTACTTCATTAGGGATTATATTCGTTCCTCGTACTTTGAATGCTCTACACTAGGGCCGGGTGTGCATTGCTCTGTGTTACAGACTTGGAGAACATATACAGCTGTTGGGAGCTGCCTACATTGTTTTTCCAGCTTGTCAATGTACATGAGGCTGTCTCCTGATTCCCAATGGCCCTCCTCTCACTAGAAGAGGTTCTTTCAAATTGTGACTGGAATTGTCCCTTATGGATCAGGTATTTCTGTAGTCTGGTGGCTCTGCACTTTTAACTACGAGTTTTAACTTTTTCAATTCATCAGTAGTGATTTCTAATCACTCCCACAATGATCTAATTTCAGCTAGTTGGCTGCAGGAATCTTCTAGGCTGAATGCTATTGCTATTGTTACTGCTGTGGTTAACTCAGTGGCCTTCTTTTCTAATTTGTTATGGTGTTTCTTGCCATACGTCTTGGGCCATGGAACCCATGGTCCATGGCCAGTCTGGGCTGCTACAGAATTCTATCCTTTTGGCCACTTTTTAAAAGGCATTGTCTGAGACTGTCCTCGCATGTTGGACGAGGGGACACTGGTCCCACTTTGCTAGCAAACATGGGTCCTTTACTGGATTTTTCTTCCATGTTATTAAGTTATGGGAAGTGGCTGTAGCTAGTTTAGAACTTCAGCTAAATTCTTGTTGTAGCCTCTCTGAGTCTTAGATATGTATAATTAGAGCACTGTGACCCCTTATAACACTATCCAGAGATAGGTCTATAAACCCACTCGTAGCGTGACTGTAGAGTTGCCCACACCTATGTATTATGTCTATCCCTGAGTCCCTCATCCAATACCTTCTGCTTGTTCCAGGTACTCTTTAAAACACATAGCATTCATTTCAATCCGGTGGTGGAATACGTAGGGGTGTCAACAGCTGCCAATGTCTCTACTTCTTTTAAACAGAAAAGTAAAATTTCCTTGATTCTTTGGAACTGAAAGGTCTCTCGACTATCTTGAACTCAAAATAAAATTCCTTCAATTCTGGAAATAAAGAATGACTTTCCCTTTACTCTATCTCCACCAAACACTCTCTGGGTAGAGACAGCAAGAGGTCAAAATACAGAGTAAACTCTACTGTACTCATTTGGTGGCCCAGTGTGTGGGATAGGGGCTAGGACATGGGAGAGCTCAAGGGTCCCCAAGGGGAAAATGAGCTTGCGCTGAGCTTTGCTGGAACACTGCAGCAAGGATTAGACAGAGATGTTGGCCAGGGAACGGGGTGGTGTATTAAAGTGGCAAGCAACTGGAAGTCAGGGTCTTTTTTGCAGGCAGAATGTAGATGTTCTGTGAAGCAGTCTCCCAGTCTACGCTTCGTTTCCCTAATGTACAGGAGACCACATTGTGAGCAGCGAATGCAGTAGGCTAGATTCATGTAAATGCAGGTAAAGTGCAGCTTCACCTGAAAGGTATGTTTGGATTCTTGTATACTGGGGAGAGAAGAGGTAAATGGGCAGGTGTTATACCTTCGGTGGTTGCAGGGGAAGTTGCCGTGCAGCTGTGGGGGTGTGTTGGGAGTGAAGGAAAGAGTGGACCAGGGAGTCCCGATGGGAACAGTCCCTGCAGAAGGTGGACAAGGGAGGAAAGGGGAGTATGTGTCTGGTGGTGGCATCTCACTGGAGGTGGCAGAAATGGTGTCTAATGATCTTCTGGAATGTGGATGCTGGTGGGATGGTAGGTAAGGACAAAGGAAACCCTATCACTGTTGCGAGTGGGAAGAGAGAAGGTGAGGACGGAAGTGACGGAGATGGATCTGACCCAGTTGAGGGCCCTTTTGACAACAGTACTGGGAGTCCTCAATTGAGGAAGAAGGTGGACATTTCGGACACTCCCTTGTCGAAGTTGGGCTTATCAGTACATGTGTGATGGAGACGGAGGAACTGACAGAACGGAGTCTTTACAGGAAACAGGGTGCGAGTGTGTATAGTCCAGTCCAGGATAGCTCATTTTCTTCAGGTCAGAGGGGGCTAGGAAACAGGGTGCGAGTGTGTATGGTCCAGTCCAGGGTAGCTCATTTCCTTCAGGTCAGAGGGGAGCCATGGGTATCTGTATGGACCCTGTTATGCCTGTCTCTTGGTTGGGTATGTGGAACATTTCTTGTTCCAGTCCTATTCCGGCTGCCACCCACAACTCTTTCTCTGAAATATTGATGATATCATCAGTGCTACTTCCCTCTCTCGTCTGGAATTGGAAAAGTTCATTGATTTTGCGTTTAATTGCCAACCTGCCCTTTCATCTGGTGTATCTCTGACTCCTCCCTTCCCTTCCTTGACATCTCTGTTTCCATTCCTGGGGATAAACTAGCCACTAATATCTAGCATAAACCCACTGACTCCCACTGGAGCCCATGTGGGTACCCATGGCCACCCCTCTGACCTGAAGAAAATAAGCTGCCTTGACTATACATCCTCGCACCCTGTTTCCTGTAAAGACTCCATTCCATTCTCTCAGTTCCTCCATCTCCATTGTATATGTTCCGATGAGGCCAACTTCAACAAGGGAGCCTCCGAAATGTCCACCTTCTTCCTCAACTGAGAATTCCCCAACACTGTAGTCAACAGAGCCCTCGACTGCATCCAATCCATCTCCTGTACTTCAGCCCTCACCCCCTCTCTTCCCTTGCCCAACAGCAATCGGGTTCCTCTTGTCCATACCTACCATCCCACCAGCATCCACATCCAGAAGATCATCAGCCGCCATTTCCACCACCTCCAGCGAGATGCCACCACCAGACATATTCCTATCCCCTCCCTTGTCTGCCTTCTGCAGGAACTGTTCTCTCTGGGATACCCTGGTCCACTGTTCCTTCACTCTCAACACATCACCACAGCCCCATACCTCCCCTTACAACTGCCCATGTACCTCCCCCCTCAACAGTATCCAAGGGCCCAAACATACTTCCAGGTGAAGTGGCACTTTACCTGCATTTCCCAGAATCTAGTCTATAGCATCGCTGCTCACAATGTAGTTTCCTGTACATTGGGGAAACGAAGCGTAGACTGAGTGACCACTTCGCAGAACATCAATGTTCTGCCCGCAAAGAAGACTCTGAGCTTCCAGTTGCCTGCAACTTTAACGTATCACCCTGTTCCCTGGCCAGCGTCTCTGTCTCAGGCTTGCTGCAGTGTTCCAGTGAAGTTCAGTGCAAACTGGAAGACCAACATTTTCTGCTTGAGGACCGTGAAGCCCTCCGGACTCAATTTCGAGTTCAATAATTTTAGTGCCTGAACTCTCCCATGTCCTAGCCCCTTACCCCACATACCAGGCCTTGTTATCACATAGCCTGCCATTACACACTTCCTGTTGATGTCACTAACAGTCTCCATTAACATCTATTCACCCTTCTAGCCAGATTGTTATCAACTCCTTTGTCTGTCCAACTGTACTTCTCTCTCTTTGGGCTCTACCCCACCTATCATTTACTCCTTACCCTTCCCCCAACTCTATTATCTGCATATAAATGAACATTTTCCTAGCTACCATCAGTTCAGAGGAAGGGTCACCGGTCCTGAAACGTTAACTATGATTTTTCTTCACAGATGCTGCCAGACCTGCTGAGCTTTTCCAGCAACTTCTGTTTTTGTTCCTGATTTACAGCATCCATAGTTCTTTCAGTTTTTATTTTGTTACTCATTTGAATACTGACTTTACTCTCTTAATTACGACTCAGGCTGAATTCTCAGGATACCAGGCTGGTCGGTTAGATTTCGGAGGACCTGACAGTCACTTCTTGCCAAAGGCCACCCGGGGATGCCAAATGTTGTCTAATTCCTCCCTAAAACAAGTTAGACAACTCCAACAAGAATGTTGTAAATTAATTTGCCCAGGTGTCCCACAATCCCAAAGCCAAATACAAGCTGGTATCAATGCAAAACAGTCCCAACTTTATTTGGAAACAAATTACAATAGCTTTTACTACAAAACAATATTATTTCTAATCCTATTTGGCCACTTAAGCTTATACTTCCCAAGTCTTTTGTAGACTTACATAGCCACTCTCTTTCTCTCTCTCTCTCTCTCTCTCTCTGTGGGACTATGAAGCTGCTTTCTCTCTTCATCTCTCTCTCTGGATGGTCAACAGGTCTCTGCCATTTACCATGATCAGAAGGTCCAAGAGGATCTAAGAGATTGATCTACAGGTGAACCCTGTTTTTGTATCTTTTTAGATGGTTTTCTGGATCTTTCTATAGTTCTGGCCAATCAGGGAGACGTACTTAATTGTTTGAAACATTGTCAATCATTTGGAAGTGTTGTAACTGTTTCTTTGTGTGGCAGGACCCGGTGCCTTTCTGTCTGGGCCCTCCTCTGTTTGGTAGATAAGTTGTTGTGAGTATGTCTGTCCAAAATAGGTGTTCCTTTTACATTATGCTAATACAATTAGCACCTGACTGCTGCGTTTGCACTGTATCTGGTGTGTGGGTTTTGTGACTTCAGAGTTTTGCTTGGCCAATATACCCAGCATCCCTTGCTGTTTGGCCAATTTAGCAATCTATCTGTGTTTTAGCAGCCAGGTTGCTACCATAAAGAACTCTCCATGTGTAAATAAAGAGTAACTTGGGGATGGGGTACCAGCCTCTGTGGAGTTATTTCACACCACATTAAGTATTTGTGATAGGAGAGTGAGCAACACATATTGTAAGATCCTCAGTTAGTGAATCCCTCATCAACAATATAGCATGGAAAAACATAAGTGGCTAATTGTGTTAGCTTGCATGTTTCTATCATGTTATTTTTTATATTTTTCATATTTGCAAATTTGGCATGGAGGAAAGCGGTGCTCAATGTCACTGTCAATTCCCTTATACAACACATGCATCATTTTTATCTATGTCTTTCTTACAGTTGATAGAGACTCGCCTTTCATTGCATTATTGCAACTAAAGAAGATTTTTTAGTCAGCATCATTAAGATTTAGATACTTCTTGTCTGCATTGTTTGAATACTCTTTTTCACGGCTGAGGAACAGCTCCTACTTTAAAGTATGCTTCAAAAACTTACATGAATCCATCTTCTGCACATGTGTGATTAATAGTTTAGTCTTGCTTGCTCACACAGCCTGCTGCTGCATTTCTCAGTCATTTTTTGGCTCATTAAAGTTTGGCATTTGCAGCTTAATTCCAACAGAACAATTTCTCATGTTATATGGCAATTGCAATCAGCAAAGGCCACCATATATTTAAATGAATCTAGCGCAGATCCTGCTTCAGTATTTTTAATAATAGATCCGTCCGTATCTCTGCTATGATAGTATTTTGAGCAGATGTTTACCGCAGAGTGGTGTAACTAGTCACTTTGGAAGATCTTATTCACTAATCACATACTGCGGAACTGGAGTTATGTGGATGGCAAACCAGACATGCAGAGTGTGTTACTGATTCTCAAGAAGCTTAATTTGACAGCATTTTCCAAACCTCTAGCCTTTACTTCTAAGAAGGATGAGGAGAAATGTCATGAAAGCACCATCGGATCAAAGTAATGCAGCATAGAGCAGGTTCCTTCATAATTTCTTGCATCAATATCCCAGAATTCCTTGCATAACTCCATTATGAGAGCACCATCAGATCAAGAACTGCAGTGATTTAAGAAGGTAGTCCAACTGGACCACCACTCAGAACAACTAGGAATGGGCCACCAAAGTGGCCTTGCTAGTGATGCCTGCATACATGAGAACAGTCTGCAAATGATAATAACTGGTTGTATATAGACATATCAGAATTGTTATATAATGGGTTCTATTCATACCATGATTCATTTTGTTGTGCTTTGCAGGGCTTGTCATATGAGGAGTGGTTGAGTACTCTGAGTCTGTAATTGATGGAATTTAGAAGGATGAGGGGGATATCTGTGTGAGATCGCGTTCATAGAACCAGACAACCAGGATCAGTGAGTGGCGAAAATAGCCTCTTTATTGCACATTCACAGCAGCATGATGTAAGGCGAAATAGAATTCCCCGTCATAGCTCAAAAGCGGCCATTTTATACAGAATTCAAGCATACATTAACATTCCAACACTTGAGTGTTAAGTAATAGACATTGTACAAAAACTGTTTTGCAGGAAATTGGAGGTGGTTTAAACATGTGCTAAATGTTACCGGTTATTGTTGAGTGTTATTTTAATGGTTATTTTAATGAGATTAGAGTGTCCTTGCATAATTCAAAAGGTGTAAGTCTTGTTATTTTCAAGGTTAGAATTTTAAAGTTAGAAAAAGGCATCTTGTGTTTTCTAAATAAAAGTCTGAGTTCCCAACAGTTTTGATTGTCTGTGGTTCTACTTACTATCATTCATTCATTCATTTGGTTTCGTGGTCACACCTGTTTTGTAGTAGTGCTGTCAGTTTCCTTCAAGGTCTGAAGAAGGGTCTAGGCCCGAAACGTCAGCTTTCCTGCTCTTCTGATGCTGCTTGGCCTGCTGTGTTCATCCAACTCTACACCTTGTTATCTCTCATTCAAGGTCGTGCAGGTCTGGACATAGTGCCGTTAGTTTACACAGCATACACTGCATAGCATTTGTTAGTTTAATTAGTGGGGTAAAGTTTTATATACATGTTGAATAAAAACTTGGGACAAGTACCTAGCTCTACATAATATACTGGAAAAGTCAGCAGGGCTATCCAATTATCACCTTTGACTGATACTTGGAGTTACTCTAGTTGGAGGGAGAAGATAAATAACTTGGTAATAGCAGCTATTCAGTTGGATTTTAATATCAAATAACACTGTTTTTGGTGTGGGGGTGCAAAAAGGTTCCATCCTGTAGTGTCTGTGCAGCTTTGTTAGCCATCACGCCTGACTGCACCTTTGAATGGAATGCTGGTCTGGTTTAAATGGGGTTGTTTACACAGCGCGTTATGCATAAGTGCACTTTCAAGTGGGGTATAACTGCAAATTGAAGTGGTTGTAACCTGATACGGTAGCGAACCCCTGAATTAGTTTGAATGGGGGCTGGCTAGTACATGGAAATCTGCAGTTAGTATTATAACCATGAATTAGTGGGTTAATGGATTAATAGACATGATTTATGGAGTTATATTAAAAGTTGTTAACACCTTTGAATTCTGATATACCATCAGATTGAGATTTACAGGATACTAAGAAGCCTGGATAGAGTGGACGTGGAGAATATATTTCCACTGATAGGATAGACTAGGACTGGGGCACAGCCTCAGGGTGAAGCAACGACCTTTTAGGACTGAGATAAGGAGGAATTTCTTCAGCCAGAGGGTGGTGACTTTGTGGAACTCATTATTGCAGAAGGCTGTGGAGGCCAAGTCATTGAATGTATTTAAGACAGAGACAGATAGGTTTTGGATTAGTAAAGGGATCAAGGCGCTCAGGAAGAAGGCAGGAGAATAGGGTTGAAAAATATATCAGCCTTGATTGAATAGTGGGAGACTTGATGGGCTGAATGGCCAAATTTGCTCCTATATCTCATGGTCTTTTAAAGAGCTAAAGCAATTTTAATTTCTTCTGATATAGCATTCTTTATGTCACAATTCCTCCAAACAGGAACAAGATAAAAATAGGGTTTGTTTTCTCCTGACTAAACTAAACTAGTGTTCGGAGATGTGTAGATTAGGTGTGTTATAGGGGGATGGGTCTGGGTGGGATG